TCCATCTTGATCCAAGTAACCTTCCTTACATGTCATCAACTACGCCATTTTCATCTACAAATCTCGAATCTTTGTGCTATCTCCGATTCTAGTGGAGTTTCGTCGGAGAACTAATTTTTGTAAGTTAATTTTGTGTCTGAACCCGAAACAGCGACCGAGGCACGACGGAGACGGAGAGACTTCCCATCTTGAAAGACGACAAGGATAGAGGGAGGACACAGTTAAATCAAACTAAAATTTGGGATACTTAGTGTAAATTAAATATTTTTTTGGTGGTAAATAATGAATACAAGAAATGGGCCTATTGTTGGCCCAAATGTTTTAAACAGCCACCTAATTTTGTCATTCACGGAAAGATTATGGCAATTGGTCCTCGTGGAGCTAAAGCTACGCGGATTAATTCAGTACCGACTGACTTTGAATTCGTACCCATTCCTCAAGTTCATATGGATTGTGATACTAAGGATGGTAATAATGTTGTCTGCTGGACCTGGTAATTCTCTAATTGGCTTCTTTTTTTTCTTCCTTCAATTGGGTTCAAGAAAATAAAATTCTCTGTTTTTTTTTTCTTTTCCAGCAAAGATCATGAGGAAGACCGACGACATAGCTGACAATGATATTTTCAACTACATGTACTACAAATCGTTTGAAACTTCTGCCGTCCTTATAATATCCTCTGACGGTGATTTCTGAGCCAAGTTACACAGATTTTCTATGTTGTTTTACAAGAGAGAATAGAGTAATTAGTTCAAAGAGTTAAACCCTTCTTAAATAAACACATGAAGCTTGGTTGTAGTAGATATAAGTTTGTTTACTTCATCTCATTTACGCAAATAGTTGGATGTACTGATCTTGTTTTTGCTGCTTTAATCTTAACCATTAGCATATAGAACTTCTTTCATAACACAATGAGCTTAGTTTTGATTCTCAACCTTTAAGTTTCTATGTTTGTATCTTACATAGAAGTTAAGATAACCTTAGCAATTGGTTTCTTGCTGTTTTTGTTACTTTATGCTTACACATGAATCAAATTCATTGTGCAGAAGGAATCTCCGCTCGGGCTAGCCACTGAATCTGCCCTTCCAGGTGATTCTAGCTTTAAAGAACTCTTTGTTTTTTTCTTTCATAGTTTGATTTGTTCATTGAAGAAGAAACCTGTCGAGTTTAAACCAAATCTTTGTGCTGTTTGCAGCCCGAGTATTGTTGAAGAAGCGGTTTTGTCTCTTACCGACCCAGGAAGCACGCACCGGTCAAGTACCGAAAAGACTTAATTATGTTTGGTTTTTCATATGTTCTTCTACTGCTATGTTGTCTCTTAATGAAAGGTTGACTCGAGTCATCTTTGTATGTTACAAAAATTTTGAATAATTTACAACAAAAAATTGGTTTACAAAACGTTACCAAGCAGTAGCATCATCTATGTTATATATATTCACACTCTTACCCTCTCTACTGCTGTGTCAGTGTATTAGACCATTCACATAAACACACCATTTGTAAGCTTCCTCCATGTTAGAGGACAAGTAAAGCTAACCAACCTCTACAAATTTTGCGCACTTTGCGTGCTCTCTTCTTGTTTCTCTTGAAGCTTGAATGACCATCTCGCTTCCACCTTTTTTCTTTCCCCGACACTATTGTCTCGTCCTTTCCAGAATACGACTTGATCCTAACAGCTCGAAATTGCTTTGTGGTGGTGTCGGACCTCAAAGGCAGCAATGCTGGCGGTTGATTATATGTAGATGGAGAGTTAATTTCGTTAGTGTCTCCTTTTTATTATTACTGAAACACATATTCGAAAATCCAACAACATAGAGCATCTAAAAAGCCAACAGGCCTTATAGAGTTGTGGATCCATAGTAGATCACATAGATAAAGAACATCAAAACATATATGGTAAGGAAACAAAGGTTCAAAAGGAAGAATGAAAGAAATATTCAGAAAGGTGAAAGCTTTATACGTCCTATGGATAGAATCTTGAAGTCACTCTGGACGTCCTTGCGCTATGTAAGATTGATAACGTTGCTTCCGAGTGACACTAGTCGCAATCGCCGAGACTATATGATTATTCTCGGGAAGTGTTAGTGTCATTTTCCAGAAAACAAACGTTGTTAGTATATTTCGTTGACGGATTTTTCGTTAACGTTTTTTAATTGAGAGAAAGTTTTTGTTAAAAAATTAGTTAAAAGCTTTAAAACTATTTTTAGTCTGGTTTTTTATTTCGATTTTTTGGTTTTTCATGTTTGATGTAGATTTTTGGTTTTTTTTTTAAACTTAGTGGTAATTTGTTTAGATTTTGGTTTTTAACTATTATTTTTTAATTAAATTTGATTTTAAAATTAGTTTTTGGTTCGCTAGGAGTTTAAAATTACTAAAAGAAATAAATATATTTTTATTGAGTAATTAAAAGTCTTCTTTGTTGCATTGTTCTTGTTACACATCTCGACTCAGGATGGTTCTATCATGTTGCATTTTTCTCGTTACACATCTCGACTTGGGATGCATGGTTCTATAATTCAATAAAACTCCAGACGTTTTAAAAAAAAAAAAGTCTTCTTTAGAAATTCAAAACATTTTTCCATCAGACATAGACTCTTAATTTCATGATGTGCAAAAAGTATTGAACTTTCTGCCTTGTGTAGTATGTACACATGTTATGGTCATTCAATCTTACAAACTTTATTACTCTACTTGCCGAACATCTTTGTTCTTATATTCGAAATATATGTATATAGAACTACAATCTTTATAATTTTTCAGTTAAGTGTGCCAAAAAAAAAAAAAAATTCAGTTAAGTCGAATAAATACAATTCTCGAAAAGGAAAAATATGAAGAACAAAAGTGCATAAAGATTGAATTAACCATAAATAAAACTTCGACAAAATAAATAGAGTAATTATAGTTAAAGTCTATCTCAATAATGCATAATTTTCCATCAATAGTAATTAACCAAGTGGATTAGTGATCCACATTTGTGGAAGTGTTGGCATACAGGTCTAAGTTAGATTAATTCAGACGTTGAATTATTTAACCAATCTCAATTGATCAGTTAAAAAGTTAATAAATTGGCTAGTTAACGGTTACATTCATTCTAAAATACTAATTGGATGGTAACCAACTCAGATCATCCATTAGTTATAAGACAAATATTTTAAAAATACTAGTTTTGAAGTGCTATTTTAAAAAAATGTCACATTTAAAAAATAAAAATTATATCATTTACTTAAAATATCATTTATGTTAGGGTTAAGTTTGTTAGGGGTTAAACTCTTTTTAAAAATTTAGAATTTTAGAATTTAAAAAATCTTTGATAATTAAGTTGCATTTTTATAAGTGATGTTTTTGAAAATTGACAATTTTGATGGTTTTTTTTGAAAAGCTCATCAAAATAACACACAGGAAATAGTTTTTTTTTAAACTTCCCCGCTATATTAAAAAAAAAAAGTAATGCTAAAAAGTATAAAGTTTGCCAAATACGAACTTTCAATTACTGGCAATAAAATTTCAAAATTAGTACGACTTTGTAGAGAAGAAAATATGTTACAAGAAAAAATAAAAACAAGCTAAAAAAATTCGACAAAAATGATAAGGATTCAACTAATTTTATGGACATGGATTTACTATTCGAAGCAGTTGAGCTACAATCTGAGAACAACTTAACTTCACATATATTTAATTTTATTTTAAAAATGTTTTATTCTCCATTAGAACTCATCCGTAAGACATATCATCTCCATTCTTCAACACAAACACACCGAATTTAAAAACTTAGTGTAGAAGTATGTTCTTAAGGTCGAGTCATTGTCACTTTCAGACAAAATTATTTAACGTTGGTCGGATTCTTTTTCTCTTTCTTTTATAGTGGCCACCATAACACACCACCTAAGTCGATGTCTATCTTGTTCGACGCAATAATAATAATCTCATTTAATACTTTATTTTAAGTTTACTCTTCTATTCTACAATGGAAGACTTAGTAATTTTATTTTCTTGTAAAACTTGAAGTATAGTACTACTTTACGAGTAAAACCAATGCCACAAAACCTCGTATGATTTTCTTAGATTATCCTATATTGTTGTATAATTGGTTTTGATTAGATAATGATCCTGTGGTTATCTCATTATACGTATGTGATTTGTGTGGTTTAACAAAAAGGAAAAACTAAAGTTCAAATACTTGATTAATGGGACATGTATATATGTGTGAATTTGTAGTTTTATTTTATACTAAAGTTTATTCTAAAATCGATAATTAGCTTCAAGTAGATGATGACCATGCATGTGATTATCGTTGATCTAACTAGACTTAAGCCAAGTTCAGGGTATTACGTATGTGATTTGCCTAATTAACATACGTGCATCAGTAGCTTAC